AGGAACAGGAGGGAGGAACAGGAGGGAGGAACAGGAGGGAGGAATGTGCCAGCAGTGGATCCGGTCGCAGCACCAGCACGGCATCCCCCGCCTCAAAGTGAGCTTCTGTGGTTTCTCCTGTCTGCTTTCATTCTCCCCAGGGTCTGCAGGCTCTGTTCCAATTGTGTGTTGTATCCATGCGGTGACACAGAGCCCAAGTGGAACATCGGCCTGCAAAACAAGAACAAAACCAAATCCAAGGGCAGCTCTCTCCACAAAACTTTTGCAGCCACAGCCACAAATATCAACTCCCGTAAAACTGACAAAATACCTTATTCAGTTCCAGGATAATTCTTCAATCAGGGGCCTTTAGATCCCCAACATAACACCCCAACAACGTCAGCACCCAGCGTTCACTCCATGATGTCACCCCCTCCAGAAAACCCCCAGCATCACCCTTGTCACTGCAATGACACTCCAGAATCATTCTCCAGTGTGATTCACCCCAATGTCAGCCCCCAGTGATTCCACAACATCACCCCAGCGTCGCCCCCTAATATCACCCCAATTGCACTCCAGTGTCACCCCCCAGCTTCACTTCCTGATGTCAATCCCAGCCACACCCCACCAGCACTCCCCAGTGTCACTTCCAAACATCACCACAGCATCACTCCCTGTTGAACCCCCCTAGGGTAGGGATAGCCCAATATCCTTCCTCATAATGTCACCCCAACAATGTCATTCATTGATGTTACCCCAAGCGATACCCCAACATCACCACCCAACATCTCTCCCTTGTCACCCCAACAACATCACCCCAACGTCATTTCCTGATTCCTCCCTCAGTGATACCCCAGCATCACTTCCCTCCCAGCATCCCCCCCAACAACGTCACTCCATCTCATCCCCCAGAGATACTCCAACATCACCCTACAGCATCGCTGCACAACATGAACCCAGTGTCACCCCAACAATGTAACCCCAATATCACTCCCTGATGTCACCCCCCAGTGAAACTCCAACACCATCCTAGTCTTATTGCAATGCAACCTCCCAGCTTCACTCCAACAATGCTACCCCAAAAAAACCCCAACATCACCCCCACCAGTAATTACCTCCTGTAATGCTGCAACGTGGTGGAAAATGCAACAATAGTAGAGAAGCAAGGCTGTAATAAGTGAGGACTTACTCAAACACAGCAGCCGTGAACACAGAAATAAAGAACAAAATCTGCTTAGCCTTAGAAGACCTCAAGCAAGCAGGGACCTCCAACAAAAGCCTCTCATTCCCGCTGCCAACACTTAAATGAGGCCTGGGAGGGGGTGGAGCCAGGATCCACCCCTTCCATCACTCAGGTGCGTTTCATGCACCTGAGCTCCTCTGGTTTGTCCCTTCTCAATCATTGTTTCACGCCACAACTTAGGGTCTCCACTACATTCCCCCCAACAATGTCACTCCAACATCACTCCCTGATGTCCCCCCCTATGATACTCCAACATCACCCCCCAGCATCACCCCCCCACATCATCCCAGCCCAATGTCAGCCCTATGTCACCCCAGTGTCACCCGCAGAGTCACCAATTTTAGAAAGTCAGGCAATTTTACCAATTGCCTTTGAGGACAGACTTGAATCAAAATATGCGTGCCATTGTTGCTCATCCACTGATAAAACTCCCCTTGCCAGACAGGCAGATCCAATCGCCTGCTCGTTATTTGTCTTTTTTTTTTTGCTTCAGGCCTTATAGGAACTGTTAGGTCACAGCCAGAAGCAGTGATTGAGCACCTGGTGAAGGGTGTAGCCAGCCCTGTGAGCACAGGTGGAAGCAATTCACCTATGGGAGCGGATAGGGCTGACCTTGGCTCCACCCCCTCCCTGACCACATTTAAGGGCTGGGAACAGTAAGGGCAGCATCCCTACCTGGGGGTTGTCTCCTTGGGAGTGAGTGCAGACCTTTGGAAAGAGGTGAGTGATTTATGTGTGACTGGGGTCGCTGCCGTGCCTTGTGTGACTGGGGTCGCTGCCGTGCCTTGTGTGACTGGGGTCGCTGCCGTGCCTTGTGTGACTGGGGTTGCTGCCATCTTTCCCTTTTTTTGGCATCTTGACTGCTTTCAAGGGGTGGAAACCATAAGGGCAGCATCTCTCCATGGAGACTGCTTCTTCTGGGGTGTGGGGTGATTGTTGTTGGAATAGGGTAACTGATTCTTTTTTCATTGCTGGATTGTAATCTCCCTTTCTGGGGGTTCCTGACTACACTTAAGGTCTGGCAGCAGGATGAGCAGCTATTGTACCTGGTGAATGTTTCCTTTAGAGCATGGAGTGAACCCTTAGAACAGAGTGAGTGATTCTTTATTTCAGGGTTGCAATCTCTCCTTTTTTTGGCAGATCTCGCCCCCACTTAAGGGCTGGCAGCCTTAAACTTGGTATCTATCTTTGGGGACTGTCTCCTTGGGAGCGTGGGGCGAGGTCTGGTCCTTGAGAAAGGGTGAGTGATTCTTTCTTATTTCAGGGCTGTGATTTTTCCAATTTTGGGGGCATCCTGACCACATTTAAGTGCTGGCACCTGTAAGGACAGTGTTTATCTCTGTAGACTGGCTGGATAAGAAGCGGACATGAGCTAGCAGTGTGCACTTGCATCCTGGAA